CCCCCCCCCCCGAGGTTATCTTGTTCCAACAATGCATGGCCCAAACACTGGTTCTCATGCAAACAATCTAGATGTCATCCAGCATGTTCAGCACCAGAACAGAGGTATAACATTTTAAAAACATTTTTAACACATATCTCTTACTCTAGTTGAATATACAGTTGTGAGTTTCAGTTTGCTACACACACATACACACTGGTCATTCTACATAGCCCAATATCCATGTAGTATATATGATTGGTATCAGATTAGCTGTCAGGTATAACCTTTTCAGAAGATAGGCTATTCTTGTAGAATAAAAACATGCATGTGAACTTAAAAGATGCTGGGCCATGTGCAGAAGATCCAGGAAGACTTGCTACTCAGGCAATATTGATATCTTTATTTGTGGATGAGCTAATTAATAGTCATGACTTTGAAATATATCTAACATTTGGAACTCCTTATTAGTGAAGGATTATAGCTGCTCAATTTGGATGTGCACTTAAAGGTGGCCATTTCCATCTTTCCAAGAGAAAGCCCATGTAGCTTGTTGTTTCTTACTGGGATGGGTTGGCTGAACTGATGGACCTCTTTGAATGCATCAAAATCAGTTCCATTACAAAAGACCCCTGAATGGCAGAGAGGCAGCCAACCAGTTATGTCAGCCATCACTAAATATTCATTTGTTGTTCTATGCACATAAAATCACAGATTCAAGTACACAACATATACTATTGCTGCTATATTGCAGCATTGTTTTTGTTTTTGTTTTTTATGTGTATTTAACACACATGTGGCCTTCTTGGTGTTGTTGGACCACAATTCCATCAGCTCAAGACAGCAGAGCTAACTGTGAGGGAGGACAGGAGTTGCAGTCCAGCAACATTTGAAGGGCTACAAAGTCTCCATCCCTGCACTAGATGGAGTAGTTACCAAGCAGTAAAAATATGTTGGAAGATATAGATAGGTTTACCACACGGCCTGCTCTTTGCTCCCTTACTGAGTCTGATGCCCTTGGGTG